TAAGAACCGTACTAAATTTGGTAAAATTTGGGTTTGGTTAAACGGATGGAACTTGCATTTTGAAATATTGATTCGAGCAATGAGGTCGCGTTTAGTATGTAGGGTTGATATTTCAAGGTGGTTTTGGATATATGTACTAAGTAGTACTAAATTTTGTATATGAGAAAGGAATAGAGTTAGAAATCTGAAATTCGGTATTGGAATCACTTTCTGTGCGGCTGGATTGAGAAAAGGATGTGGCTTTGGAAATAGGTACTAAAAATGTGCAAAAAGTACTATATGGTATAGAAAAAGGTATAGAATTGAAAATCTGAAATTTGGAATGAGGATCTTTGATGATGTGTAAAATAGACGAACGAAAGGGCGTATGAAAATTCAAACTCTAATTGCATTAAAATTCACTAAATTTGATACAATTTAGAATCATGTGAACGAATTGAAATATACTCTTGAAATTTTGGCAGGTTTGGGAAGTAATTTTAATATAAAGAGGTGTGTGTGTGACAATGTGTGCTTAGTGTATAAGAATTGTACTAAATTGTATTAAATTTCGTACAATTCTGTTTTGGGTGAACAGATGGAGCTGGAAATTTGAAACGTTGGTATTGAGGTAACTACTGGTGGGTTGGGTTTATATTAAAGATGGTTTTTATAATGCGTACAACAAGCATACGAAAGCTACTAAATTTGGTATTGGCCAAACAGAAATTTGACATAATGGTCACTTTTGTGAGGTAGGGTTGATATTTGGAGGTGTTTTTTGGGAAGACGTACTATAAAGTACGACATGATACTAAATTAGGCATATGAATAGAAGTGAAATTATGGTTTTTGGAAAAGTACTAAATTTTTTATAGAATGTAGAAAAAGAGCTGGGATTATGATTCTGTGATTATGAAGCATTTAGATAAGGACGTAATTTCGGAAATTCTTAGTATATAGTGTACGAAAAAAACTATAAATAGTACTAAATTAGATATAGAATGTGGAAGAAGAGCTGGAAGTGTGAATATGGGTATCACTGAGAGTGCGCACGATAACTATCGATGGGAGTATCCGATTTAGTCTCATCTTGGTACATCGTAATATTATTATCAAACTAAGATCAAGTTCAGAAATGGGCAATATCGGCCCACTCCTTAGGTACCTCTCCACAAAAGGTAAGATTTTTAAAGAAAATAATTTACCTCACAGAAAGAGAAAGAATCATTCGATTTCATTCAAACATTGCTAATCCTAATATTTGCATCAATGCTACATCAGGTGCGAAAATTGACAATATTGGTCCACTCCATCATGCACCTACACCAAAAAGTTTAGAAATTTTGAATAATTATAACTCTTATAAATAATGGATCAACATTTGGAATAGCTATGAAGCTGGTAGAGCGCAAAGTGAGCATCCGATTCTTTTTAAACTCGGCACATCTCAATATCTCATGATCTATTGAGAAGATACTAGATGCTATCGGTCCACTCCTTCTGGCACCTCCCCCATAAGGTGTTAACATTTTGAATAACAAACGCTTTTAAATGCGAAATAAGCATCCGGTTTCTCTTGAAATTTCACACACCTCTACAAAGATTTATTTAAACAATACATGGGTATTATTTGTCCACTCCTTCTAAACCTTTCCCAGGGACGTAAGTCAAAACATACTAAAGAAACGGGCATTGCCTGGGGCCACACGTCTGTCGAAAAAACCGACTGGTACCTTTTAACTTGATTCTTAAGTTGTTCAGTACCAATTCTATTAGAACGCGCCTTAAACAAAAATAAAATTTTCCACCTGCAGTGAAGTTTGGCCCTCACAGCATATAAAGCTTTTCCAGTGGACGGGATTGGCCAAATTTTTTACGTATTATTGCAATTCTACAACAGTGCATCTATTTTTGCAAATTTATTTCTAGTTGATTTACTTGAAGTTAATTTTTGGACACAAAACTTGCTAAATATAAATTGTATACCTGTTAATGAAAACCAGCTTCCGTTTTCTATAAATACGCACACATACATATATATGTGTGTATGTATGGCTTTATAAACATTGAAATGCAATCAAACTGTTTCTAGTCTCACGATTTTTTTTTTTAATTTAATTCACATAATTAGACAGGCGATTAGTGTTTGTTAAGCAAACAAAGCGCCAGACGTCTGCAATGATAACTTGATCTGAACTTAAAATAAAAACTATTGACGTTGTGACTCTAACCGACTTCATGCTACTCTTCACCGTTACAGTTTGGATATATCGGAGAGGTTTCTCGAATAATAAGCATAAATACGAATTGGATCGATAGTTTGCTTAAGGTATATGTATATGGATGGTAAATTTATAACGGAACCAATCGTATCTAATATGTCCTAGAACAAAGTCAATTAGGCGGAATATTTCAATGGGTTCCCATATAAATTATAGAGTAGCACAACACCTAATTAAATGTTATTACAATTTCATATATTTTTTATAATGTCTGCAATTAAGTTTGTACGTAGTTCACATAATACCTTTACTTCTAACCCACTCTAAACATATCTATGATTGCAATACCCTAATCAATGACATTTATGTGTAATAGTTACCACAGCTGGCCATTTAATTGTTTTCCTTGACGTTCTAAAGGAAAAAACACCTAATGACCATCGGGTTGCCTTCGATTGGCATTTTTATTTTATTATGCCTTTATTTTTTACAATGGTCAATTTTCTTTCATGGAAGCATTCTGATAGCTGCTTCAGTTCATTTATGATTCGCACAAGGTCATCATAAAAGTTAATTGACTTTATTGGACTTATGCGCCCGGCAGCGATACAAAAAAATAAAAAGGTTGATAACCGAAATTGCTGATACGAAGTCATCGATAATTCACAATTGGCATTTTTGGTTTTCTTTTTCTTAATAATGTGAATGTAAGAAATGAAAAATTACATGGGAACAACACAACGTGGAGTTTTCAAAATAACAGAAAATAATTTAATAGAATTTCCATTATTTAAGCACCAGCAAAAGATATCAATAGAAGAACTGTAAAATATATTCATGTAAAAGGCCTTCTATTCATTTGTGACTTGCAAAGGCATTATATCTCTGGAGGACCAGTGGTTGATCTTCTGTCCATAGAAATCCTGTAAAAGGGGTTCTGCCCCGCAAGAATTTTTGATGAGCCGAATACTTCATTAAAAGTAGTCTAAATATAATAAGTGATTCATTAAAAATTACAATGACAAAGGGCTTATTTTTGTCATTACCAAGTAATGAGTTACGACAGTACGGAGTGTTTACGTTCGACTACAGGTCCATAATTTTCTGTCTTATGCTGCAGTATCCATCACGAACTTCAAATACCAAATTTGAAACAATTCCAGTGAATAACATCGCTAAAATCATCAAAATACCGAATATGGGGAGGTACCGTCTATGGGGGAGGGTATATATACTATGGTGAAGGGTATAAAATTTTTTTTTACATATTTGTCGAGATTTAGTGGCCAAAGTATTTCTACTTATTTTGGGCGATATGTCCTTGTGATTTTAACGTGCTGGCCGGTTGATTGGTAAGTTTTTATGATAGTCAAAATTTGATTAGAAAATTTTGACTGGGTAACCCTTGAATACCTCTGAAATACACTCAATCCCAGAAGACGAATAAAATGATTTTTTCTAAAGAAAATATGGTATATCTTTCTCTATAGAAGATCTGAAAAGTGAAAGGCCAAATATTTATATTTAGCAAAACTACCCTACAAACATAGGTTAAGGAGTTATATCTTAATCCGAATTGAAATGCGAGTTTTACTCTCTGCTCAAATTCAAGCAGGAGAACTTCATGAGTAAACTCTTACTCTATTTCAAAAATGTTGAGACCTTACTTCTCATTTTCAAACAGAATAAGAAGAGTAAACTTTGAGTACTCCTGCTCGTCAGTATGTTTCAGCCGCGAGTAAAAATGAGCAAATCTGAGCCCTGTCTGTATCGTTGTGTAGAGAGCATATTATGAATTTGAGAAGGTCTAAATATAAAATTGAATGAAACATATGTATATATTGGTATATAAATCTATTTGTTCCAAGGTTTTTAGATGCCTTTGTTATAGTCGGAACTTCGCCGTATGATCCAAATTTTTAAAATAAATATATGGAAGCTATATCTCGACAAAATTTGGCCAAGAGCAAATTGCAAATTCGACTGCACCGATCTTCACCATGTTTCATAAACATGGTTCTAAGCTCAATTCGGTCGTAAATACCAAAACCCATCATATATTTGGGTTGATTTTACAAACTTGGCGGATAGTAAACATGAAAACGAAAAATATTATATGGGAACTAAATCCAAATTTGAACAAATTTTGACAAAATTTTGCAGGGGTATTTCTAGAATTTTTGTTAAATATATTAAATAAATATAAAAAAAAAAAAAAAAATAAAAATTCATGTATCAAATTGGAAACAACAAATATATGGGAGTTTATAAAGAGTAAGGAAGAGAAAGAGTCGGAGAGTCCTTCCCGGAAACCTTTCGTTTGAGTCCCACCTCAATCCCGCATCATTCTTAATTTGTGTACAGTCGGATTTTTTTATATTCATTTTGTATTTTTTTTAAAGTGATGCCTTTATTTATTAATTTTATATTAATTTATTCCTCTGTGTTTTTCGACTTCTTCTCTTATTTCTTTGTGTTTCTCTTTATAATAAATTTGATTTTAAATGCCATACATTTTCCTCCTCTTTATACTCACAATTTCTCTCTCATACTCTCTACCACTTTCTTTATTAACCCTTTCTGAACTCGAGAACAATTCGCTTGGTGTGTGTCTTTCCAGGATAAAATTTAAATTTATCTTCACAGACATTAACGGATGCAGATATATATGAGAACTATATTAAAATCTTTTTTAGAATCGAAGATAATCTGGCTAGAGCAGCCTTAGTCATGATTTTCTATTTATTGAAAATCCTAATATATTCTTTATAAAATATAATTTCTTGTAATACTCACTTGTATCCTGATAAGATATTGAGCAGGGTACTTTTACCAGCACCAGATGGTCCCATAATGGCGGTGAGTTCACCCGAACGCAAGCGTCCGCTAACTCCCTTGAGAATTGTTTTGGCATCTGGAAATAAAAGAAAAATTATGAAAATTAGTGATGAGAATTGGAATATTATAAAAAATCTATTTAAAACTGTGTCAAATCATGAGACGACTTGAATAAATCGTTTGGCAAAATTCCTCCCAGTTAGAGTTACCAATATCTAATGGTTATATATCAAAACCTGTAATATTACTGAGAATGAAAATATGGAGAGGATGACACACCAAAGCCAGAAACTGGATATTTTCACGAAAATGGTTTCTAACTATTAAGATTAAAAAAAATAGCAGGCATTCCGTCTAAAAACTACAACTGACATCTAGAAACACCATACAATCGAACGGAATTCTTACTTGACACGAAATCGAATGTTTTTCCAGGGACGAATTCTCATTCAACAAGAACCAAAAAAAAAAAAAAATGGAAATTACAGACAATTCCATTTTTTAAATGGTGGCGGAAACCTATAAAATAATGAAAATGAAAAGATAATGGAGGCTGTACAAACACTGGACTTGGAGTATGTCCAGTACGAAGTATGACAAACTCAGCGGAAGTCCTGTCAATCAAGAGAGCAGTCGCAATGGCAAAAGAACTCTGGAATAGCTTAACAAGACCAGTTAAGTCAAGTGCCAGAAAATCGAGAATCACTCGTGACTTCAAGAAAGCCCTGCTTGAACCACATGGACTCATTAAGTTTCCGACATAGCAATGTAGTAGGGAATAAAGTGGCTGATAAATAAGCTCAAGGCGAATGCCAGTCGATTGATATAACGATTGATGAGACTGTTAAATCACGAATAAACTTTTACGCTAGATGCTTCAAAAAATCTCTCATAGAAGAAGCTGGAAGGTTATGGAGCTAGGTAACCGGTTGCAGGGTATCTAAGACCAACTGGCTAGTAATCCGAGGAGAAGAACAACATCCCTTCTATCACTTAGTAGGTCTGACGATTCTTATCGTGAGCACTGCAGTGTCAGATATATGACCTCAAGATGGGACAACAGAGTTCCTGACTACTGTAGACTATTTGAAGATGAAGAAGAGGTAGATACAAGAGACATAGGTTGATCGGCAGGTGGGAGAAAAAAACTCCATTGAAAACCCATTGCAAGTTTTCGGAAGGCATTCACTTTGTTTGAATTTTATGTATTCAGCAACGAAACTAATGTTTGGCTCAATGGCTACGTAAATAATCAGAACTTTCGATTTTGGTGTGAAGATCGCCTAGAAGCATTACAAAAGCTACCAATGCTTCCAGAAAAATGTTCGGTGCCATCATTGGACCGTACTCCTTCAATGAAGCTGCTCATCGTATCACTTAAATATTACTCGATTGTCTGTAACTGTGACCAGTAGAGTGGCTGCTAAATTATGAAAATAACTCTTTTTTGGTCCATTTCATCCCTCAAACATTTTGCGATCTTCTTCAACTACATTAGGATTTTATTTTGACCCTAGCCCTTTCTCCATGCAACTTTATGTAGGGATCCGGCCATAATTGCGGCCGGTAGAAGAATGGGAAGATCAATATACTACATCCTGGGTCTAGGCCCAATATTTGAAAGTGTTGCAAAACATTTTGGCCCCATCAAATTTATAATACCCTGAACACACAGTATTGTGATGTATGAAAACATGAAAATCTATGAAATCTTTATGATTTCCAAATTTTCACATTTTCCAATTCTCTTGAGTCATACTCTTAAAAATTTTAATTTTCTCATACAGAGCATTGCAAAATGTTTTAATTAACGTACATTTAGGAAATACAATTAACAGCAAACGCAGCAACAGCTATGACGAAAAATGTTACTCAAGTCAAGACTTCGAAAGCTACGTTGAACAATTTACGCAATTTTGCTGTGGAAATTTGACAACAAGTAGAGTTCAGTCACAACGAAATAGCGTAAGTAAAGCACATGGAAAACTACTATTGGCCTTGTGACAATCAGCGAAAACAAAAATATAAAAAGTAAGCAAACAAGTAAAAAAGCAGCTAAGTTCGGCCGGGCCGAATTTTTAATGCCCTCCACCATTTTGAAAGAACTTGAAAAATTAAAAAAAAAAAAGTGGCAAAAATTCTTCTCAAACGATACTCCTTATACAGGGTGAGATGAAAAAACAGCAACCAACTTCAGACTGCTGTCATTTCTAAGCCACTCGTCCGAGAGCTGTTAAAATTATTCCAGTGACAGCTCATTATATTGTTTACAAGCCTACAAAAGCAATTTTGATGAGCAGAATGATCGCGTTTACTTGCCAAAGAGGTCAGCTGAAAATGTGCACCTTCGGTTGGCCACCAGAACTCAAGCGCCGGCCATGGTGATGGTGTGAGCCGCCATAACAGCCGATGGTCGCTCTCCGCTCGTATTAATCGATCGTGGCATCAGAATGAATGCCGAATATTATCGCGAAAATATTCTGGAGGGTATATTAAAGCCATTCCAAAAGGACTCAGCACCATCGCACTCAGCACGCGCCATCCAAGAATGGTTACAAAATGAGGTTCCTCGCTTCATTTCCAGCGCACAATGGGCACCAAAATCTCCAATCTATCTATTGTGTCTGGAGTGTTTGGGGAAAGCAAGGTTGGCACTAAAAAATAGCAAAGTGTCGATCACCTCAAGCAAGCTATTTGCCGGGAATGGGTCAAAATACCGCAGAGCAACATTCGGGCAGCGTGTGACGGTTTCATTGGCTGTTTGAAGGCCATAATTCGTGTCAAAGGTGATCAATTCGAAACAAATCTAAACTTATTCTAAAATTTGATGCTATTTCCGACATTTTTGCTTTTATTTAATAATATTTAAAAAAATGTAAAAAATTATGACTTTTGACTTTGTAGCAGTTTTTTATCTCACCCTGTATATGCAGTGTTGAAGAGAGGTCGAAGAAAAATGCATCAAAAAATATGGAAATTTTTTAGATAATTTTTTTTTTAACAAAATTCAAACAAATATTTTTTAGATATTCTTTCACCGATTTCTCTTCTTTGGTGACTTATAGTAAAATTTGATTAAGAATAGTTTTGTCTTTGACGTCTCCTTCTAAATTAATGATTTGTTGGAGATTTTTGCACAAACCCACACAATGTACGGATTAAACGCTAAAATGTTATTTTTTAATATACAGGGTTGCCAATATTCGACGGACCTTTGGGCCCTTTGGACCCATTCCAATCGACGAGGCTTGTCCGCAGGCAACATTCTTTGCGTTAATTGAATTTTGTATGGGAACAAATGCAAATCAATGCGAATAATCCGTTGTAAAGTGGGCCGAGCCATGTCCAACTGCTGAGAACGGCGTTTTTGGGATGTTCTTGGGGACCTCTCAACACTGGCTCGTACGGCAGCGATATTCTCGGCCAATCGCCATGGTCGACTTTTATATGACCTCTTCGGATTAGAAAGAGCCTTACCAGTCGAAAATTTTTCGTATAAACGCTTAATGGTGTTCTTAGAAGGCGCACTTCTCACATTTTTTAATGTTTTAAAAGCACGTTGAGTTTTCACAATTGACTTCTTGTTAATTTCAACTATTTCAGAGCGCTCGCGTGGCGTGTATTGGTTCATGGTAAAAACCTGCTTGGACTGACGCGTCAAACGCGGTATGTCATTAAGCGATGTGACATCTCTGTCAAAAGTTATGGCGTTGCCAGATGGGTCGGTCGAATATGGGCAACCCTGTACATGAATTCCTGGCGTTTAGGTAAGATTTAGACCCTTGCCATCTTCTGGGACCTATAGTAGAATTTTGAAAAATAATGACAAATAATTTAATGGAATATTTTGACTTGCTGCGATCCCGTTTAAAGGGAGTTTTTAACCATATTTGAGAAAAAGGGCCGACTTGACTTCTTTATTGTCTCGCTGGAGGGTTAATTTTTTTTTCAAAATATTCCTCGTGTTTTTATTTGCAAAATTGCGGAAGACACTGTATAACTAAAATGCACGGATTTCGAGGAGTCTTCATACGAAAATTTCTCATAGTGCGGAAGAGCGGGAACTTGTCCCCTCTATTTAGCTTACTTTGTGATGTAAACTTTAAAAGCGCCGATATTTGTGTCTTCTATTCTTAGCTCTACTTTCATAATATGCTGGATTTTCCCCGTGATTATTTTTGTTACAAACTGAACATGTTTGTCAGGGAAATATGTGAAACAAGCGAATATAGTTCAGTTTTGGCAAAGTACAAAATTACAAAATATAATTTCCTGTCGCGGTGAGCTATTAATGACCTAAGCAAAAGATGTTTCTAGAGAAAAAAATATTACCTTTATGTAAGTCACACATAAACAAACAGTTGCAATATTTTAGTTTTTCAAGGCATAAAAATTATAATAATAGGAGTATTTAAAATACTAGTAGCCATTAAAACCTTTAGTACATGTTTTTTGCCACAACTAAACAACAAGTCATAACTAAAAGTGGTAATTAAAATATTACGCATGGTTTGAAAACCAGTAAACAAAGCTAAAAAGAGACTCTTTCAAAACAACATAAATTTCAGTTTCAAAAAATATTAATATTTTTATGGGGCCAACTTGAGGTTTCATAATATAACTATAAACAGTAAATATCACACTCATACACCATCATTCTTGCAAAAAGGTCAACACTGATGGAATGACAAGAACTGAAAATAGATTAACCTTCATTCACGTTCGAAAAAAAAGAATCTTCAAGAACTTGCCTATTTTTCCATTCTCATGATTCTCTTATGTATCATTGTTATTTGGTGCGTAAACAGTATTTGGCATGAAAATAAAATATATAGTTGTTTTTTTTGGTATATTTTATAATAATTTAAATAAATTATAGAGGAATGAGATATAAAGTCCGAATAGTGAAGCGTTTCTCTAATTCTTGAAAACTTTCCATTATTTTTTGTGATAAAAGTTTTACTTTTGGTATCTACAAACAGAATATGTAAATAATTTTACATGATATACATGGGTACACATTAAGATTGTTTAAAATTATTTTAAAATGCTAAATAAAAAATAAAGTTTATTTTT